TGAAAGGATGTAAGAAAATGTTAAAGGATGTTAAAGAATATGAAAAGATATTTGAGATCATTATCCAAGTGTAATTATTTTACTAAAATTAAAAATGATCTTCTACTAAACTATTTTATTATGTACATGAATATCATAATATAAAATAATAAAAATATAGATCCCAAATATTAAATAAGATATAATATTAAAAATAGAAATGTGATAGTAAATATAGTAATATATAATATAAAAATAGGGATATTAATAAAATAAATAAAAATTATAAAAATATGCAATTTTGTATAACCAGAGAAAGATTAAGGAATTAAGAAATTTTATATCACTATAGTAATAATATAATTTAAATTAAAAAATATTATAATAATTAAAATTTTACTTATTATTTTTATTATTATTATTTATATTTTATTAAATAATTATATTATTATATAATTATATTTTATTAATTATTATATTTATTATATATATTATATATATTATAAATTATTAATTAATATTAATTATAATTAAATTAATTTTATATTAAATAATAAATATATATTTATTTTTTATTTATATATTTATATATTTAATTATATATTTATTTCTTAATTTATATATTTATTTCTTGAAATATAAAGTTATATTTTTAAAATATTTAGTAATTAAATATTTATTTAAATATTTTTATAATATATAATTTTATATTAAAAAGTATTTTCATCTTAAATTTATTTTTGCTTTAATTTTTAATTTAAATTTAATTTATAATTTTATTTTATATTATTTATTTTATATAATCTATTATAAAGCTTTAAGATTTAAAGATAATAATACTAAAAAATTATAATAATAAAGAATTATTATTAATAAATTTATTTTTAAATCTTATTTACTTTCAAGAATTATTTATAATTTAATATTATTTAATATAAAAATCTTATATTTAAAATTCTTTTACTATATTATAAAAATAATATTTAAAAAACTAATAATAATAATATATAAATATTAAAAGATAAAAAAAATATATTATAAATTAAAAAAATAAGTTATTATATTTTTATTTTAATTTTAATAAAAATTAATAATTTAATTATTTATCTTATTTTTTATATATACTTTATTTTAAGTATTATTATATATTTTATTTTTTTAAACTTTAATATTTTTTAATTTTATTTAAATATTTAATTTTTATAAATATATAATATTATATTAACTTTATAATATTATTATTTATAATAATATAAACTTAATAATAATATAATAATTCTTGATACTATATATTTAATAATTTAATAATTTTATTAATATAATTAAACCAGTTAATTTAAATTATAGAAGTTGATTTATATAATATATTATAATAATTATTATTATAATATATAATTAAAAACTTATATAACATTATAATAAAGAAATAAATATAAAAAAAATTTAAATTTAGTTTTTTATTTTTCTTTACTTATTATTTATTTTAAATCTTTTAATAAAATATCTTTATTTAATATATTTTTTATTTTAATTATAAAAAAATAAAATTTTATTATTTTTATATATTTTTTATTATATTTAAATTAAAACTTTTTATTAAGATATCTGATACTATTAAAATTTTTTTATTATTATCTCTTATATTATTTAAAAAAATAATATAAGATATTATATATATAAAAAAGAAAATAATTTGTAAATTTGTTAAAATAATTAAAAAAAATTTAAAATAAATATATTAAGTTATTATTAATAAGTTTTAGAAAATATATATTTTTATTATTATATTACTTTAATAAAAAGAAAATAATTAAATTATAATATAATTATAAAAAAAGACTATTTATAAATATATATTAAAATTTTCTTAAATAGATAAAATATTATAAATATAATATCTAAAAGTTATATATGTTAGTATTTTTTTTTATTAATATTATTTTATAAGAAAAGCAGATCTTATTATACAATTAAATTTTAATAATAAAATTTTCAAAAAATCAAATAAATAATTAGCTTAATTTAAAATTTATTATAATATATATTATATAGTAAAATAAATAATATATTATTTAATATATTTTTTAAGATATATATTATTTTTCAAAAATTCTTTAAATATATATTATTTTTCAAAAATTCTTTAAATATATTTATTAAATACTAAAAATTTATTTTTTTATAATTAGTTATATAAAAATATTGTAATAATTTTGTAAAATTAATATTAAAAATTTATTAATTATTATACTTTTAACAAAAAAACTTGGATAATTAGTATTATAAATTAAGAAATTAGCTATATAAATATATATTAATAATTAAAATATTCTTTTTCTTCTTGATAATACATCTAAATATATTAAAACTAATTTTATACTTATTAATATTATAATCAAATTTTTTATCTAATATTACTAGTTATTTATAATTATTAGATGCTAAAATAATAAAGTTTTTTAAGATTTAATATTATAATCTTTTTATTTACTAATTTTTTAATAATATAAAAATAATATCATAAATATATTAATAAATTTATTAAATATTATACATAATATTACTAGTATTTAAAATATAATTACAAGTATTATAATTTTAAATTATTAAAAAAAAATGGAAATTATAAATATTAATAAAAGATAATTGAACTTAATATTAAATATTTTCAAATCTTTAATAGATTATAAAATGATTATTTCAAAAGAATATATTAATATTTTTATCAAAAATAAGATAATTCATCATATTTTTAATATTAAAAAAATAGTTAATATTATTACTTAATCAGATAATATTAAAAATAATAAATCAGAATCTTCTAAAATATTAATTTTATTAGCTTTTTCTTTAACAAGAAATTTCTTAAAAAATCTTGAATAGCTAATATTATATTATCAAGAATTGATTATATATAAAAATTATAATAATAAAAAATTTATTTTATATTTATTTTATTATAATTATATATTTTTTCTAAGTTTTAATAAATATATAATGCAATTTATATTAAAATAATAAACTTTTAATAGATATTAAAGAATATTTTTTATCATCTGATTATAATAATTATATTAATAAATTAAAACTTATAATAATAATAATAATATTAAGAATACATTATCTTGTAATAAAGTCATATATATATATATGATTTATTGTGTTTTAATAAACTTAATCACCCAGTTACAGAATTTAATACATGATTATTATTCCGCTATGCAATGTGAATATATTTTTTTTTATTGATTTTTGTTCAATTACATACATTAATAAGAAATGAATTTAACATTAATATAATACAATCAAAAAAGGGATCTAGAGTCTTACAAATGCTCCAGACTATGCACGATTTCGGTGATTTCATTGGTGAAGGAGGGATACTTTACGATAGAGGATATAATGTAAAGGGGATACTATATACAGTATACGAAAGCCCATTTTTTGTGCCAATGGTAGCTCCAAGTATGTTAACACAAAGGCCTGTTCGTTAATATATGATACTAAGTTTTTTTTATTTAGTTGAAAAGATGAGACATAAAATTGAATAAATATATTCAAAATTGCTTAGCAGTGATTATTATTGCTTCAAGTGATTAAAGAAACTTTTTCTTTATATATAGTCTTTGTCAGTATCTATTCTGTGGATTCTATTCAGTTTCCGGAAAATGATTGTTTTCCTGGTCTAACGTAACAGTAGTAGTAAGGGGAGCTTCATTCGGGCTAGATATACTTATCGGAGCTGGAATTGTAGATGTATCAGCAGTAGTTGACGATGGTAGTTCATTGTTGGTAGCGGAAGTCATAGCAGCTGATGTTATCGAAGAAGCAGTAGTATTGTTATTATTGTTGCTGTTATCGTTGTCACCGTCTTCCATAGAATCTGGGGCTAATGCGGCAACTTCAGTCACAGAATTTGTTGCTTCTGTCATTTCTGCATCCCGCACAACTTCTGTCGTCGATTCATTACTATTACTGTTGTCGTTGTCGTTGTCGTTGTCGTCATTGTTGTTGCGGCTGTGATTATTATCATCAACATCATTAGCATTACTATTGTTGTTGTTGTTGTTATTATTATCATCATCATCCTCGTTATTTGGAACTTGATCTGTATGAGATTCTGATGTAACATCGGTCGTTGTTGCAACAACATTAACAGGTGGTACTACGGCATCAGCAGAACTTGGTCCAGGGATATTATCTATTTCCATCTGGTCAACGATATTAGCAGGAGTAATTGTTGTATCCAAAGGATTAATGTTATTGTTTTTGTGCCTATTCTTTGATGATTGGTCGTATAATAATTTATATCGATATGTACGGACATATGGAATTCTGCTTTTCCTTGAACTGCTGCCATTCTCTTCCATCTCTTCGTCATCTGATTCTTCGTATTCATTGTCTGGTACAATACGTTTATCCCATGATCTTTCTATTTATAAGGAAAAGTATGGATATGAGATGTTGATTTTGATTGTGTACGCGTTGAAGATTATGGATAAAACATGCACTAACACAAGACACATTACGTGTTTTCCGTGAATCAGGGTCCTCTTGATCTTCATCATAATCATCTACGACAAATCTATTTTGAGGTACATCTAATACGTATGATAGATAAATACATTTGTTTAATGTTATATTTAAAACATTAAACTAAATCGAAAATAAACTTACCTTGAATTTGTACACTTGGCGTATGCCGTGATCGATCAAGATGTTCATAAATTTTAAGCCTATAAGAATTTAAAAAAGTCATATAGAATGAAGCTAATGCCTAAAGAAGACTTGATTTTGTGTATAGTATAAAAAATATTTTATACTTTATGGTCTCTAAATAATCTGCGGAATTCATATTTTCCATATTACTTGGCGGACAATGTAACTTATATTCCGGGCCATAATATTCATAGAACTCTGTATGTGGTAGCTCTATTAACGCAAAAAGGAATAAATGTATTAGATGAGACTCGATCGTAAACTTTACAAAAAGTAATAAAAATATTAGTTGCATGATTTAATTATTTTTATACCTATAGGCACTTCTTTATCGACTACTACAGCAGTCTCGTATGCCCAACATCGGGAAACATTTCTTATTGTGTATCCACCACCACCAAGCACCAACATTGGAATATTAAATTTTTTAACGAAACGGACACAGTCCCCATGTCCTATTATATAATAATATTTTTGACATCACAAATTTGTGCGATTTAAAGGTAAACATGTGTCGATAAAATAAATACCTTTAGTGGTTAAATTAAAAGTGCCTAGCCGATCCCCAGATAGAGAGTCAGCACCACACTGAAGCACAATTACGGAAGGTTGATACCATTCTATCACGTGGGTTACAATCTTAAAGAGATTAAGAACAACATTAGGCAAATTAAACGAATAATAAAAGAATGAGATAATTGTTTTTAATACTAACAGGTTCAAAAATCGTTTTATAAGTTATATCGTCAATTCCTTCTCGAAGGGGAACATTCACGGCATGGTATTTTCCTTTCCCGTAGCCAATATCCTTGATAAGGAAAAAAGAATATATATATATATATGATTAGATCTTGCATCTTAAGAAAGATTGATTGGCTCAGTTAAGAACAATTGCATTCTGCGTACATGAATATCACCAGTTCCCGGAAAAAAATCTCCATAATTATGAAAACTTAATGTCATCACTCTGTCGGTCGTGTAGAATGCTTCTTCGACCCCATCACCATGGTGAACATCAATATCTATATATAAGACGCGTGGATGATGCCTTTCAATATCACACGACGATTATTAATGATATTCTTATGTTCGTTAAGGAAGTTACAGCCAGAATCAAGTGAACGAAAGTACCTTAGAAGCTCAAGTATTGCTATTACTATATCATTAACATAGCAAAATCCACTAGCTTCTGCTTTCTTTGCGTGATGTAGGCCACCCGCCCAATTAAGCGCTATATCACATAGTCCGTAATTTAATCTTGCGGCACCCTCTGATGTAAAAAAATAAATATCCAGTATTTGCTTTTAAATCGTTTTATTATATGTCTAATAATGAATCATAATAGGTACCGAGAGAGCCACCAGCAGTTATCTGACAATATTCGAGCAACCCATCAAATACGGGACAATCATCACCTACGCTGACTATCAAGATTCAAATTAATAATGAATTCTTAGAGGGTAAAAAACCGACGCATAGAGATCTGAGAAGGTAAGCATACATTTGACTTGCTCTTTTAAATGATCATCCGCATTATTAGGTGTAACTTTTCTAAGGAAATCAATATACTCATCCGTATGAAATTGTGTTAATTCTTCCACTGTTCCTGGTCTGGCTCTCTTTCAATGTTATAAGAGGGAGAATAGCAAAACTTATGTTAATTATCTAATTGAAGTCTTTTTGATTAGAAGAGTTCTTAATAACATAGAAATGATATCCATACAAAAATCTCCATCTTTTTATATAATCCATAGGCCATCACTAAGGAATGAGTCATCTTTACACGCATTGGTTTCATTGGATGTCCAGAGCCATGGAAATACTCTGCAATTTTTTCTGCAATGAATAGTAAGATTAATCTTTAATTTAATGTAAACGATTGATTCGATAAGTTATCTATCAAACTAACGAAGGTTCAAGTGGACACACCATCATAGAAGTAATTTATTCGTTTTTTCGCGTCTGAAGTCATTCTTGTCGATCAAAAACCAAAGAGGAAAATCTTTCTAGTTTATCGTCTCTAAATGGAATCCAACTATCTGTATTTTGTGCCTGTTGATGTTTTAGATAGGCCTCGTAAATGGTATAAATCTTTGAAAAACTTTTGATTGAGAGGAAAAGTAACAAAGCAAAAAAGATTTGTTTTTTTTAGGATGATCCGATTTACTGTTTAGTCATATAGCCAATCAAATTACTTGATGGCTTGCGTAGATGTTGAACGAACGCTCGCTACATTCTATCATCTATATTTCGATATGAAGTCATTATATATGATGGGTGTACCTTATTTATACATACGCATTTAATTAATTTGATTTTCTTTCAACGTTTTACGTGGATATTAGATTTTTCGATAAATTATATTAAAAACAATAAAAATAGTAATAAAAGATAATTATGTGGAAAAAAGAAGAAAAATTTCTAAGAATACAAATATCAAAATACTAAATAAACTAAATACCTTATGATATTTAAATAAATGTTCGATATGTACTATGAAAGCATATCAATATGGGTGAGTAACCAACGCAAATTTTTGTGATTTGAATATTTACATGTTAATTTACTATAAATTTCCGTTAAAGGCTATTCTTTTTCAATTGATCGACCTCTTGTCTTGCCATTTCTAACTCCCTTTCCAACAACCTCTTTTCACCTATGAGGACTTGATTTTCCCTCTTCAATAATTCCATCTCTTCCTTCATTTTCTGCATCTCTTGTTGTACACGATGTAATTCCATTCGCGTAGAGATTTTTGATAGCTCTTGTGCTTTTGCAACTCGTTCTTGACGTATGAGGTTATACTTTAGAACTTCGACTAGTTCAGGCGTGGAGTAATGTCGATCGGAAGTTATTGCAGGAGTAGATGAAGATGGTGACGATAGTAATAATGGAGATAATGACGACGATGCGATTTTTGGTGATGAGGGTTGCGATGAAAGGTGACGACGTTTTGTTGGTGGTGGCAGTGAAGTGGCGGGCGCAGCGGATTGTTGTGCAATTGTATATTCATCATCATTTAAATTTCCTCCTGATCCGTGGTTATTTGACCAGAATTGATTTTGTATTTCGTCATCTTCGAATTCAGCGCGTCGCTTTCCATTACTATTTAAATTACCTCGAATATTGTTGTAAGGTTGGTTAGGTGTCATTTTCCCATATCCGCCATTATCGGAAGAATTTGGAGAATCACCATCGAACCATTTAAAAAAGTTGCATTTATTCTCGTCATCAATCGTCCCATATTTTGCGCATCCCCAAAAATATCGACCTCGGTTTTCTGGCTTGCCACGTACGCCGACTTGACGAGCGACAGCTTCAATATTGCAATTGCATACCGGAATTTCGTCGTTGCTGTTGTTAATAGGGGAAGGTGTATCTGCGGGTGTATTAAAGCCGTTTATTTTGTCGTTTTGTGAAGACATTTTTTAACTGTTATTTTTTATACTAAAAAAAATTATGTCTGGGTCTGGTTAAAATTTTGAGTTTAACGGTGCTGCGTATTTCCAGAAGAGGGAGAAAAAAATGTATCACAATGTTCAAATCAGTTGTCGGAGACCCACTCTTTTTATAGGTATGCTGTGCTCTTAATTGACTTAGAACACACAAAATGTTTGTGTCAAATAGCTCTCACGCACATAAGGAGCGGGAGGTAACGTTATTATTTCATTTGTGTCAAAAAGAATCCGATATGTAGAAAAGTCGGATGATTTATACACCAGTGGGGGATTGACGATATATATATATATATATGTGTATATATGTATATATAGGTGATAAGCCGTACCAGTGTACAATCTGTAAAAAACGATTCTCGGAAGCTAATATAATGACTCAACATATGAGAACACATACAGGAGAGCGTCCCTTTAAATGTCCACAACCAAATTGTGGTCGTGAGTTTTCTATATCTGGTGCACTAACCATACACCTTCGAGTTCATACTGGTTTGTAATTAATGCACTGTTTTTGTGACAATACATATTATCATCATAAGATACATTTTATTTATTTATTTCTTTTTAATTGCAGGTGAAAAACCATTTAAGTGCAAACAGGAAGGCTGTGTGAAACGGTTTGCTGAATCATCAAATCTTACAAAACATGTAATGAACTTTATTATTATCGTTATTATTATTATGGTCGTACTTCCGTTATAGATTAAACCCGCAACTGTATATAGTCACATCAATTTTCTACTTTATAAGTAATAATAATATCTTGATCCGTTGGGAATTAGTGGAAACTTCATTATCTCTGAACCATGAAATTGTATTTATTGTTTAGCGATTTTTCGATCCGCTTTATAATGATTGATTCCGCTTATTCACATACGGGTCAGGATATTATTCATTAATTCCCCATGATCTTGAAATAGTGATCGGAGATTTATATATATAATTTCGCCCGTTGTTGGTTATCTTTATTAAATTTTGCAATAAGGACAAAATTTCAGACTTGACCATGTGACTATTGCGGAAGCGACTGTATTATTAATATCATTATTACGTTGTTAATCCTATAATTAAATTAATCCTGTGATTAGATGCGAGTGCACACTGGTGAGCGTCCATTCCAATGCCCTGTGGTAACATGCAAAAAAAAATTTTCACGATCTGATCAAGTTACT